AAACATATGATATTGACTAACCGAGACGTTCGCACCTGTGCAACGTTGAATACAATCCAAGTTCTATTGTCTTTGGCAATGAACTTATACTGACTCTTCAACAATTGGGAATTAAAATTGCATTCTTAAATGCAGAACTGGTAGAAGTGGTCTTCACGACATTACCACTAGTTTTTGAGAATTGAAATGAGAAAAATAGAGTATGTAAACTCAAGAAATCTTTGTATGGCCTAAAGTAGTCACCTGGAGCATCGTTTGACAAATTTGCGAAAGTGTTAAAGGATTAAGATTACCAGTAAGGACAATCAGATCACATCATGTTCTTCGAACAATTTGAAAATGGGTCAAAGACCATCTTAATCGTGTACTTTAACGATATAGTCCTAACGGGAGATGATACAAAGGAGATAGAAAGATTCAAGAAAAGTCTAGCAACTAAATTTGAAGTGAACAACTTGGGACAAATGCGGTACTTAGGGATGGAAGTTGCAAGATCTAAAAAAGGTACCAGTATTTCACAACGAAAATATATTCATGATTGGGTGTAAGTCGAGCGACACCAATGGAAGCAGGAAATAAAACAGGAGATAGTGGAAAAATCCAATCAAAAGTTGGTCTACCTATCTCATATTAGACCTGACATTGCCTTTGTGATAAGTGTGGTAAGCCAACATATGCATTGTACAAAGAAAATCCATATGGAAGCAATATACATAATTCTAAGGTATCTCAAATGCTCATCAGGAAAAGGACTATTCTTCAAGAAGAATAAAAGCAAGAAAGTAGAAATATTCATAGATGCAGATTAGGTAGGTTCAATAGTTTGTACCTTTGTATGGGGAAACTTGGTTACTTGAAGGAGTAAACAACAAAACGTTGTGGCAAGAAACAGTAATGAAGCGGAGTTTAGAGTAGTTGCTCAAGGAATATGTGAAAGAATGTGGATAAAGAAAATCTTGAAAAAACCATAGTCATAGTAGAACTTCCAATCAAACTCTATTGTGATAACAAGATAGTCATCAATATTTCTCTGAATTCAGTTTAACACGATCGAACCAAACATGTAGAAGTGGATAGGCACTTCATCAAAGAAAAGGTTTTGGACGGAGTTTTCTGCGTGATCTATGTTCCCACTAAAGAACAAATCGCTGATATATTCACTAAAGGATTGCCTCAGCAATGTTTCGGCAATTTCATTTGCAAGTTGGAAATCGTCAACATTTACCATCCAACTTTAGGGGGAAATGTTACTGATCTTGAAAATTGTACAATTATTGTAGTTATCGTATTTTTGTATTGCCTTAGTTAGAAATGTCGTAAATAGGTTGCTAATTTAGGATTAATTTTCTGCTCTCCTAATTTAGGATATCCCTTCCCTTTTATCTCCTTTCTCATTGTATTATAAATTGAGGGCTGTTACTCAGTCATTTAATTACACAAAAATGCAAGAATTATTTCTACTTTTATAGTCATATAGGAACTTCTCTATATTACATATTTAGACACACAAAGATTTTGGCTTCTATCCTTGCTTGTGTTAGTGTTGACTAGGCCAAACACATTTGTTTAGATCTTCAACACAAGTTAGGGATTCTTCAAGCACATCCATATAGCTAAGGAAAATGCCCTGCGTACAGGGCATTTGCTATAGGAGTCTTACCGACCCCTCACTATAGGGGCCGCCCCACATGAAAAAAAAATTATGCTAGGGCGCGTACATGTGTGTTGTTTGGTAGGGGTCTGTTTTTTACTTGCAGCACCTCTGTATAGCTAAATCTGGGACATAACTTCGATACGATTTGCTGCGAGTCAAGGTTCTATTACAAAAGATTAAAAATATTAGGTGGTGTAGTCCAATCCTTTATAAATCCAATGTTATCTCCTTATTTAGTCAATGTGGGACTTTTGTTCGCTCATCTTTACAATTGCCAGCTTATAACTGTCCATTGGCAGCTAATCATCTATTTCTGATATCTACTTCCTACACCATGAACACTGATTTTGCTTTAGTAAGGCATAAGATATCAAACTTGATGATTTCTTTGCACCTCCAAATCTTGCATTTTTTGCCATTTTGTTAATTGAAGATAAAGGAAAAATGGAAGATAGAGAAAAGAAGAAAATAAATTTTATTTTGTTTGGATGAATTAAATTTTTGGGAAAAGAGAGGAAACTGTCATCAAATTACTGAAATATTGAGGAATCACAGATATGACATCTTTTGAGGCTTTTAACACAAAAAAAAGAAGTGATCCCAAATTTTTTTAAGGGAAAATTGCAACAGCGATGCCTAACCTTATTATTATTATTATTATTATATAGATTTTACCTTAACCTTCATTTTGTGCTAGCGAATGTCCCTAATATTTCATAAATATGGACATGAGATCCATCTAAACAAAAACCTTCCAAAACATCGTCAGTTGATTGGAAAAATTTCTTGAATTATCTGCTACTGCGACAATTTTATTAGATGTTGATGCCTTTTTGGACGGTGTTTTTGATGATTTTATTAGATGTTGATTCCTTAATTTTTTCGGTCAACTGACGGTGTTTTAGATGATTTCTGTCAAGATGGACCTCAGGTTCATATTTATGAAATGTTAAGAACTTGTGTTGACACAAAATGAAGGTTAGGGTAAAGTCTACAAAAAATGAAATGATTAGGGATTGTTGTTGCAATTTTCCCCTTTTTTTGACTATAATAAAAAAAATTAAACAAGTTGTTATTCTATTGGGTAGTTCAAGAATTAAGCCCCTGTTTGACAAAGCTTTTTTTGACGTTGGAAACTAATGAATCTTATGAAATGTGTGATTAAAATAAAATTTGACGAGTTTTAAAAATTTGAAAAAATGATTTACCAAACGAGCTAAATCATCAAAATTCATAATTCTTTCTGGGCTGTATGCTGTGCTAAAGTTACATCACATGTGTGTGTGTATATATATATATATGGGCATACTTTGTTTCGCCCTTTGGTTAATGTTTATAAACGATTTATAAGTATCATACGCATAGTTTCAACTTATTTTTGTTTATTTATAATTTAATTAAATAATAGAAAAAGTTAGAACCGAATTGAAAAATCGGTTGACATTCCCAAGCCAAAGACCGAGAGAGTATCTACAAGTTCAATTAATAAATGTTAAAATTTTTATTTTGATGAAATTTTCTATCATCAATTTTTAGTATATTTACACCTAATCAACTTCTGATTGTTTGCTAAACAAAAGTTGACCATTATAATCAATCATAAAGGGACTTTACCAATGATTAAAAAATGTATGCAAAGTATTTTTGTCACTTACCGAATTTACTTTGCTTGAAAGTCATTCATTTTCTAAACATATAATTATTTATAATAATCGGATCCAATTATATTCGTACACTGAAATAACAAGAAACGTCACAAACTTTGAGGGTTTTTTAGCCCATTTCTTGTAAAAATAGATTTTCTAGTAATGATTTTTCGAAGAATGTACGATTAAGAATAAAGTTTTTTGTACATAATTTTTTGTACATTAATGTATCTATACACTTATATATGGGTAGAGTCCACTTGAATAAAATATTCGAGTGGCTCCCACCCTATGTAAGTGTGGGACATCTTGATATACAAAAGATTATGTACACCAAGCAAGATTCATTGATTAAAAGGTATAGAGCCTTGTTAAGTATACATGTAATATTATTTTATTAGGAAAATGTATAGTTGAAATTTGATAGTCCCCAAATTTGCTTTACGTAGTTTTTGGAAATATTTTTTTACTTTCACATTGATTTAGTTCATCTTATAGAAAAATTTTAGGGAAAAAAATTGTAGCATCGATCCTTAACATTTTTGTTTTTTTGCAAACTTTACTCTAACCTTAATTTTGTATCAGCAAAGGTCCCTAACATTTCATAAATATGCACTTGAGGTTCATCTGGGTGAAAACCATTCAAAACACCGTCAGTTGATCAGAAAATTCCTTGAACTATTTGCCATCGCGATGGTTTTATTGGATAATTATACCTTTTTGGACAGTATTTTGGAAGGTTTTATTGAATGTTAATTCTTTAATTTTTTCAGTCAACTGAATGTGTTTTGGACGATTTCCGTCTAGATAGATTTCAGTTATGTATTTATGAAAGGTTAGGGGCTTTCGTTGACACAAAATGAAGATTATAATAAAGTTTGTAAAAAATGAAAAGTTAGGGATCGTTGCTACAGTTTTCCCAAAATTTTATTAAAAATTTAGAATATAATTATGTTTTTTTTTTTTTTTTGTGGTCAAAGGCATGTCAAAGGTAGCATTAGTCGTAGATTCGTGACACCTAGCTGACATCATCTTGAAGTCCACTAAGGTGATTTCAGAAGAGTTATGGCAATTGATAGAGAAGGGACGTGAAACATTCTCAAAGATTGATTTCTTCTTAACTTCTATTCTTTTTCTAACTCGTTAGTTATCTTTTCTTATGGACTTAATGTCCCAGTAGAAATATTATAAACGATTTTTATTACATTAATTTTAAATAAAATTTAAGGAGGATGGCTTCCTAGCGTAACGGGACTACTTACATTCTAATGGCAAAAAACTCGTTTTATTTCATTTTATTTATTTATTTCTACGTATACTTTACCCAAACATGCATGTTAAGAATGTAAAATTGATTTATTCACTTTAGATTAACTTGCTCCGATAATATCACTTATAAGTAAAGAGTATTCCAACATTAATATTTACTGTTTAAAAAATTGAGTTGCTTTTGGTACAAATTAAAATTAAAATTTTAATCTTTATTAAAGTCAAGAACTAATTTTAATCACACGTCTTACGGAATTTACAACTTATCAATTACATATTTAATTAATTTTTATCAAAATTTACTAAAAATTTGATTTTAATTTCTAAATAATTATTGTCAAAACAAAGAGTATTATCCAAATATATTTAGAAAATATCTTAAAATAATTGTATTAGCATATAAGCTTCAATTGAAGAATAATTGTGGGAAAATAAAATAGAAATTGACCGAAACTTTCTGAGATCGCACCCAAATTCATTTCAATTCCTTCGATCCCACACGACTGCACAACACATACAAAAAAGCCTTCGCGGAAACACAAATTCAGATCTTTCCTAGTGGAATTTCCCACAAAAACTCGCAGCAGAAAATTGAATTACCAGATAATGTGTGAAGCCCATATATAATCGAAGGAAGCACGTGAAAGAATGTACAGATAGTATAATTAATTTCACAGTTTAACCAGGTAGGACATCTGAGATTTACGTGGTTTTGAATTTTTTTCGTGAATTGCGTCACATGTCATTCAATTTTTTTAAATCATTCCCTGGATTATTGGATTATTGATGCATGGATCCAGATGTATATGTTGTGGAGCGAGTACCCATTTGCTATTATTCTGATGAATCAGCGTTAATTTTATTTTTTTTGTTGTCTGAGTAATAATGTAGCTACGTGATCGTAATAATCGCGTGTTGATAAAACGAAGGGGCTCACATTAACTATAAGTACTCTTATGTTTCGCGACCTAGGATCCAAAGTCAGATGCTGTGAAACTGATTTTTCAAGCTGGACATTGGATCACGACAGGCTACACATTTTCATCAAGTTCCTGTATTATATAGCTCTTGTTTTATGTTTTAGGCATTTACGCAGGGAAGTTCTTTAAAGCACTGTACCTCGTTTTAGTCGCCTGAATAAGTGATGCATATAATTTGAATTCTAATTTCATGGATCTTGGTTTGCTGTGATTTGTGAATCTGTAGAGTTGAAAACAACAAAAGGATACTTTGCCATAAGGCAACAGATAAGAAAGAAAAAATAAAAAAGAAAGGGAAAATGGAGATGCGAATTATCATTCAATCAAAAAAGTTGTACTTCTTAATCGTTGGTCATTACTTCAAATAATTTAATTTTCGAATGATATTTTGTTGGGGCTTTGGATGAGCAATTTTACCCTAAATCTTTTAACTTTGTAACTGTCAATTCTCTCTCTCTCTCTATTAAATTTTTCTTGTAACATAAATTTGGGAGTTACATATGAAATTGCTGGGCGACATCCATATGATGTTGTTTTAACGAATTTGTAGTGGTTATTTGATTTTTAATGTCATGGACATATATTTTGCTACAGTTTTACTGCTGTGGGTGTTAGGCATATGCTTGATAATTCAAGTACCTTGTCTCCATCTATGTTTGGAGGTCTTATATCTGTTTCTAGCAACAGTCCGCATTTACGGAAGTCTGGAAGCCGACTTCTTGTTTCTGATCTTGGTAAGAGAATATTTCTCTTTAAGCATTTGTTACTACCTGCCATTTGTTCTTCTCCTCCTCACTGGATATTAAGATCATCGAGTGTATCGTTTTTAATGATTTATTTATACTAGCTACAGGTGAGCAAGGAAATAGTGCTGAAGAAGATATCTGGCATTCCATAGAATCAAATAAAATGAAGAGTGTGGGCACACCATTGAGCAGCGTGGTGATTACACCGTCTCCTGTACTTCTGTGGAGATTCAAGGTGTGACTTCGATTGAGTAATATATTGTTCTTGAATAATTTATTTATTTGGGAAAAAAAAGTAATACCATTTGAATGATTTGCATCTCTTTTTTTCTTGGCTAACATTTCATGATAATATGAGGTGAAAATAATGGAGATTTATTTTTGAAGCAGTAACTATAATAGACTTTCTTCAAAGGTTCATTGATAAAGGTTAGTAATATGGCATAAAATTTGATCTCGTGGCATATGATTAATGTTAAACATAAAATCATTTGAAAGTATTGGAATGGGGAATCGTATTGGCAAGTTGGGTTGCCAGGTAAATCTCACACAACAGTGTTTCTTCTGGATAAATGGATCATAGTAGGAAAACAGGAAAGGAAAATTATTTTCTCATCCTCGTTACTTTTCTGACCATGTTTGTTCGCCAGGAAAGTTGTATTATAAAGATAAATTTTTCTTTGGGCCGAAGTTTACCGAAGTAGATTACACACTTAATTAAGCAAATAATTATGTAGCCGAAACAGTTGGTCAATTCTTATTAATTGATGTAGCCAAAAAATCTATTATTTTCTTATGGCGATAGATGTATGTGCAAACTTTCGAACAAAATGAGGTAAATGTGCTAAGATGTAGAAGAAGGAAGTATTTATTTATTTTGCTAATACCAAATAAAAGGGAGAGAAGGGAATTATTATTATTATTATTATTTTATTTATTTATTTTTTTTGGGGGGGGGGACAGCAACGCGAACACTGCAGCTCTCGGCACTGCTACTACCAATGAAGAAAGGGGCGTCGGTGTCGGTCGATGCTCCAATCTGCAAGGGGCGGCATTCGCCTAGGGAGGAAGAAGGGAATTTTTTTTTTTTTTTTTTTTTTTTTTTTTTTTTTTTTTGGGGGGGGGGGGGGTGTATTACGAGAAAGCATTGCTTATTATATGGTTCATATTAATGTAATTGCTTCAGTATTGTGGGGCTGGATCTTAAAATATATGTCCCATTTCCTCCATTACTTTTGCAGGAAAAATTTTCAGGGATTAGTCAGGGACACATGATTTTCTTCCAAACACAGAAAACGCAGAAATTTAAAATATGTCCCATTTCCTCCATAACTTTTGCAGGAAAAATTTTCAGGGATTAGTGGGGGCACATGATTTTCTTTCAAACACCAAAAATGCAGAAACCTGACTTTCTTCACTTTTATGTCCTTTTCCGTGCAATCTAACAGTACCACAAAGTGGAAACATATAGTTCCTTTTCAATTTTAAGAGTTGTTGTCAGCTTCCTTCCGACATGTCCAAGTTTCAGGACAGAAACTATGATTGTATTTTGTAAACCTGGATCTATTTTTCTGGCACTCCCTTTCTAGCTGTATTAATCAAATATCTTGTTTGTATGGAAGCGGAGCAAAACTGCGGTCAATGTCTTGAATTTGTTCAAAGTCTAATTTGGATATTTTTGTTGAATGATAATGTTGTCTGGATTGTGCTTTTTCATTTTCCCAGTCTATCTGCTTTTATGTTTGATTTATCATGATAGATGATGTCATCTGGATTTTGCGATCATTTTTTAATCCATTTGCTTTAGGGACTTACTGGTTACCGCTTCAGTATTTATGTCTTATACAAATCTTAGTAGATAATTTTCAAGTAATTATGTAATGAATGGCTCGATTTTAGAGGTGTAAGGGCTAAGGGGAGTTGTGTTTGGCTAGCATGACTCACTGTTCTTTAACCCTGGTGGGCAGTCTTATGGGCTTTGCTTGGCACGTGATTAATTTTTCATGGCTCACCATGTCTCACAATACCAATTTCCAACCCTCTTTAGGCCACCATCTTGGGCTATGGTTTAAAGTATCACTTCCATTCAAAATTTGTATACAGCTTATAGATAAATATGAGTTGATTCACAGAATTGGGTACCTCAGATTCATTTTCCAGTGAATCTGTTAAGACTATGAGAAATGGCTACTAGACTGTGGGATATCAGTTGTGGCCATTATACAAGGGCTGCGTAGGATGTGTCTCTGCAATTACTGACTCAGCTGTGGGCCTGTGGCATCTAGATATGACACCATTGCAGTTTCATTACTCTTTTAATTTGTTTACCTTTCTCAATGATGTCTGTTTTTTATCTTTGATAATTTGAAGTTGCACGCTTTTTGAGTAGTTATTTAACTTGACATACAGGTATTACTGTTTCTCATCTGGGGATTTAGTTGTTGTAAGGTCAGGACACTCTATACTTTTCCAGAATTATTTGTTTTTTGTTGGCATTCTGTTGTCTTGCTTTATTTTCTGTTAGTGTGATACCAGTGTTTATGTGCACAATTTGCAGTTTGGATGGGATGCAGTCATGAGAATGAGTGCAGACCTGCGGGATTTATTTTTGTACGAGGCTTTCTTGTACTATAATCCACTTCTTCTTGTGGTTAGTTGAAGTTTTGCCGTTTCGCGTCAATACTGCATATTATATCGGTAGCACTCTCTATGGTAATGATTTATTTATTTATTTATTTTTTTAAACAGACCATGATGGTTTGGCTCTGGGGAATCAATTTATGGTTCTTTGCTCAGGCTAATGTAGGTTATGGAAAAATTTTTGACCTAGATCAAAGTCATCTCACTCATATAGAAATTTGGAAGGTAAGGTATCTGCTTTTCAGAAATGCATTGGAAGATATTTGGGCCAATCTATTCTCTTTCTATCTACTGACACCAGCATTCATTTCTATGTTGTCTAATCTGTGGATTTATTTGCATTATTTAAGCAGTAACTAACAAGGTTTTTTCTGAGTTTTTTTTTCATCTCTATGCACTATTTTATGGCTTCTGAGTTTTATATTTTGTTTGCACTAAGCCTTATGCAATTCTGTTATTGAGGCATTTTTTATACATGTATATATGAACTTATACATTTTAAACAGTATGCTTTGCAAGCTTACTTTGGAATCATACAAGTATTTATTTGTGCTATCTCAAAACGTCTACTCTCTCATGTTTTATCCTGTTGGGAGTAAATTTTATTTGTTTTGTAGTTGGACATATTGGTAGTGTTTCTGGATGATGTTACTCACTGCATACAATCAAATTTGTTTAGTTGAATAGATGAATTGTTCTTGTGGGGGAGGCGTCTCCTGGCTCGTGAGTAGATGAATATCTGATACAGGATTGCCTCCTTTTGTTGAGAGCTGCTTGTTTTGCATTGACTTCATGCCAAATATACATTTTGTTTGTAGCTAGAATTTTACACAAGTCTTTATTGTTAATTATATTTGAAAGTTACCGTGGGCTAATTTGGCCTCTTTGATCCATCAACTCATTTACCAGTTTATTGTTGCCGATTGGTTCTATACCTGACTCATAACTACAAAGTTTCTCCAGCCCTTTCCTAACCGTGGCTAAAATCCCCGTAATGAAAAATGCCAAAATAGGAATAAGAGTTTTTATTACACAATCGATAAGTCACTTCATTTTCAATTAGGCCTTGCTCTTTTGAAAAGTGTATGTCTTGTTGTACCTATTCATGCTTTTCATTCATGCTGAGATAAAATCACTACACAGGCTTGTGAAATTTCTCTTTCGCGAATCTCGCTAATTGATGTAATTCTCTAACAACTGATTTTTAATTTTTAATCTATTTCCTTTGTGCTATCTTTGGTTATGTTTTACGCATAATTCATTTATCATTTCAGTGTGCCACCTGGATGACGATCATTGTCCCAACTAGTATGACGGCATATCTTTATCTTTATTCAAATGGAGAAGTTTTGTTGGCTGCATCCCAACCAGTGTAATAGATGCTTCCTTTCCCAGAATTTGTTGTTTTTTTCTGTTTTGATATATTTTTGTATATACTTTTAATTGTACAAAATAAAGGGTGAAACTTCTCAGTTTTTTGTTTTATTTGCCTGAATGGAAAAAAAAATAAAAATTGGAAGGCCGTGACTACTTGATATATTATAGCAGTGCCCACAAAACTGAATATGGGCATGTTGAGGCCATAATAATATACTTGGATTCATATTTTTAAGAATAAATGAAAAATGATGGTACATTTTCTCTGTCTTGCATGCCACATATAATCCTTGAAGATTCTTGTAAAAACATACATGGATAAATTTGGACTTTGGGTGGCACAAATGTGTCATATAATTCTGTTAGCTGACACAACTTGAATAGAAGGGTTCTGTATTTTAAATGAGCAGACTTTTACCATTCTTGTCATCTACTTTGCCTCATTATGATTTGGCTGGATGCTCTGATGGATTGTCCAATATTCTTCTTGATTTGACCATCATACCTAATGGTGAAAGCTAACATGCCCTGTTGACAATCATGCTTGAGTTTTGATTTGTGCTATACCATTATGTTGAGACAGCTTTTACATGTGCAACTTCAGGTGTTCTTATATGCTGCTGTGGCAATGCTTCTCATTTTTCCCTTCGATATTTTCCATTTGTCATCTCGCTACTTTTTGCTGAGGACTTTATGGCGGATAGTTTTTCCATTACAGGCAAGTTTATAGTGTCACGTAATTTTATCCTTCCACTTGTTGACTTTGTCAGCTAGAACTGTCAGCTGAAAAAAGAGAAAATGTTGATTTCCGGGATTGTTCAATACATATATTTGAAATCGGTGACATTATTTATCTTATTGGCAATAAATTGTTTGAGAAGTGGAGAGATCTAAGAGTCCATGTCTGTGATATTTGGTAATTTTAATCTATTCAACGAAGTTTCTAGCTTCCAATGAGAGATAGAGGTAATCATGGGCTGCTTTTTGTAGTTGCGGAGAAGAAAATATCAACTAAAGCTTTGAAGAATCTCTTAGGGGAAGGGAAATATCGGTCTGGGATCTGCTATAGTGATATTTGGTCTTAGAATTTGGCCACAGTATTTGTTTCCTTATTTTTGTCCATTTAAATGTGGCAGCTCACAATTATAATCATAAAAGGAAGAGGTATTTCATGGGATTGGTTAATATGGTTAAGGACAATTTTCTCAAGGACATAAGCGGTTTTAGTGAGTTTTTGAGTGGCATTTTATGCTGATTATACTTTTGAAAAGAAATATGGCTGAAACACTCTAATGTATGATGAGAATAAAGATGTATAAATGGAGATGTATGGAGAGTTTGATTCCTGGTGGGAACCTGTGATCCAACAAATGGGCAACATTGTTGGTCGATCAATCACTATGGAGGAAAGCTCTCTTGAGGTCAGGAGTAAAAATCGGGTGGGAATCTGTGATCCAACAAGGGCACATCCTGCGGTTTACCTCCGCTAGTTACTGAGGGGCCGGTGGCTAGGGGTCCAGGATTTAGTCTGGCGAAATTGGGACACCTGGGTATCAAAAAAAAAATGTGTGTCATGTGTCGACTTGTTTGAATTAATCACTCATGCGAGGTTGTCTACCCTACTCGACGGTTATTTTATTTTTATTAAAAAAAAAAAAAAAAAAAAAAGAATAAAGATGTATAAATTCTGAAATTGCAGAACAAGAAGAGTTATGGTAGACAGTGGTGCAGCCAGGACTTGGATCCAGTGGGGGGGCCTACTTTAACTGCAAAAAAATTCTTTCAAACACAAAATATAATAATATTTAACATAAAAAGTAAAAAAAAAAAAAAAAGAAAAAGAAAAAAAGGTAATTGAGATTTTTTTTTCAAATCTTAGTGGGGGCAAGGGACCCCACTGGCCCACACCTTTCTCCTCCACCGATGGTAGAGAGAGAGAGAGAGAAAGAAAAGAAGAATACGAATGAGAAAGGAAAGAACACACTGCAAGTGTTTGAACAATTGAATATTATCGAACAACAGTGTAACTGCCTAATTGGTCAACCATTCACACGAGTGAATTTGAGCCACCCACAAAGACCTGTTAGCAAAATTTATAGATTCAACCCGGGTTGGGTTGATTTCGACAGCTAATGGAAACCTTTTCTATCTCATTTATGCATATTGGTTTTCATTCAAATTATTTTCTATCACCAATATGACTTGGGAAGCAGAGTTTCCCTCCATTCTTTACGTTTGTTTCACATTGTCCTTGAATATCCCAGTCACTCTGGGAAAGGGATGAAAGAAAGTAATGTAGAACAGGAGACCACACCCACAAAAAAGACATTTTTGTGTATTGCTAAATAACTATGAAATCCTTGTGGACACAATGTCAAACCTTAATAGATCAGACTGGGGCCCGGGTTAAGATATTATGTTTTGCTTCACAGCCAACAAGATTATATTGTTACATAGTTTTCTCATACTATTTTATTTTTTGGAGACAGGCAATAATGTTTGCGGACTTCTTTTTGGCTGATATATTGACCTCTATGTCAAAGGTATGCATCTTATGGTCTGTTATAGTTTTTGATAAGGTTGTATGTTATTTGGAAAACTTGTTGGCCTATTTATCAAGAGGCAAATTTTAATTTTGTTGTTTCTCTATCGATATTTTTTGTCATTCAAATTGTGAAATTTACATTTCATTCAATGCCACGGTTGTATTTATATTGATATCCTTAAAAGAGAGGTTGGAGCACAAGTTTCTACAATACGAAGTCTAAAGGACGCATGACATGACTGTTGATCCTTTTTTGTCTCTTGTTACACGACATGTGATTACTGATAAGTACTGCATCCATTTTCTGAGAAGCAGGAGTAACATTGAAATTCATTATGCTTATCTTTCTTTCTCAAGATGAATATAAGACCTATATTTGGATGCTCTGGACCATTTAGTTTCTAATATTATTGAACAGCAATGTTCAGGCCATTAAGTACTTGATCTTGGGGGTATTACTCACCTGAATTACTAGCTTCATTACTTGAGAAACCACGGCATATTCTAAGTCCTGTTATTAGGCCTAGGTAGGGTATTACTTCTCATATTGTTGGGACTTCTGAAAATATTTGTTGCTCTGCCTGTTAGAAGTTATTGGTGAGAGCTGGAAATAAAAGCTGGCTTAGAAGGCAACATTGGGGCTCAAGAGAAAGATAAAGATCCATTGTTTCATAAGCTTTTATGGCCTAGAAAAATAAGGGCAAACCTTTTGCAGACCCAAATTGGCTACAAATTGATCTACAAATTCAATTTGTACTGTTTTTACCTTATACTGAAACAAGCTTTGGCTTTTTACCACACGATGTGCTTGCCAAATATTGATCATAATCAATAAAATATAATCGTAGCTTAACAGATTAATGTCCAGAGATGGCCTAAAAAATGATTCAGCTTTTGATTTTGTTCGTATGATGTAGAAAAGATGAGCACAACTGCCAACCATTCTTCTCCCTTCTTTTTTCTTGCAATATGTCGTTTCTCTCCTAGTAGGATAATTTGCTGATTTTCTACGAAGATTTTCATTTTAGACGCTCAGAGTTCAAAAATTAATGAGAGTCCTCCTAGCCCTAAATTGGCATAACCTCTAAAAACTCCAGTGGTAAGCAAAATAAGTTCTTATTATGAAAATGAAGATAAAAAGATTAGATTCTGTACTTCTGAGCTAGGATTGTGAGCTAGGATTGTATTTTATAAGAAAGTTTAGTTTCAGGCTCTCTCATAGATTTGTTTTCTCTTCGGGTATTAATAATTTTGTAATGTGAGTGCTATTATTTGTTTCTCCACTACAATGAAATTGATGTTCATTTCAAAGTTTGCTTATGACATATTATGTTCTACTTACTCAATTGCTAATGTCTTGGATATCAGAGACAAGGTTGTGGTGTAAGTCTGTAAATATGTTATTTTGTTTTTGTCCCTGCATATTCTCTTTGCAGGAATCTGTCTGAGTTGTGGACCTTACTAAGTACATGCTACCTATTGACTTTCTTGGTATGATTTAAAGGCGTTCTCTTGTGCAGGTTTTCTCAGATTTGGAGCGTTCAGTTTGTCGAATGATCCATCATCAGGTTACATTTTCAGTAGTGAAGTTTTGTTATATAACATGTTGTACAATAATTAAGCTGACATCGTCAACTTTCCTATATTCTGGTGTGACTTGGATTTGTGTTCTGGAAGGTTTAGAATTTTTTATGGCAATGAAAGAAACCTTTTGCATTATGGAAAGAAAATTTTGTGGAATTTGTGGACAATTCACTATGAGTGTTAGGGTCATTATTAATCTGGGTAACATCTTTGCTGCTTGAATTTCTGCCGAAACTTGAATTGCCAGGCATAAATTTCCCTTAACCTCACTGCTAACAGTTTGATTATTAACACGTACAGGTTGCTACCATTGCATGGTTTGAAGCCGATTCTGTATGTGGAAGTCACTCTGTTGCGATCCCTATAGTTCTAGTTTTGCCTTATATATTTCGTTTATTTCAATGCCTTCGGCAGTACAAGGATACTAGAGAAAGGACAACTCTATTAAATGGTAAAATACTGCACCTTTTCCTTGTCTTTATTTCGTGCTCCAATGTTTTCATTTTATTTGAGGAAGGGGCATAAGATCAATTGCACTCATCAATTTGCAGTGGCACTTTATTTTTTGGGCTGGAGCTATATTAGATAGAAAGTTTCCTTCACGTGAAAGGATTTGGTCAGTTATTGACTGTCATATCCATTTAACATGTCTGGAGCCCCAAGGATAATATTTGACTGTCATCAGGATGAAGCAGTTTAGGATTTCCTTTTTTCTTTTGTTGTTTGATGTATGTGTTCCCGTTTTACTTTGTGACAATGAGCATCAAATTTGAACTTGTAATTCATGATCAATTTTAGCCTGTAGATTTCACTACACATTAAAATCTGATGCTATTAGCTTATTACACATTAAATTCTGATTGACTACTCAGTTTTTCAGCCAATAGAGGAAGATCCAAACTTCTGTTCTGGCACCCTCCTCCATTGACATTCTTTTCAATTGCTTCAATAGAGAAAGTATAAGTGTGTAGTTGTAGCCTTCTGCAATTGTTGATTGGAGATTTTGTATTATTTTGTGCTGTGAAAGATCCCATCTTTACAATTTTACTTGCATTTGCACTGTGCCAGTGAATCATTGGTTATACTTCCATATAATAAATAGATAAGCGGATGTTGCACTACCTTATATTTTGCTAATATATAGAAAATAATGTAATTTTGGCTAGATTGCATGCCAATTGGTTAAAATGGGCAACATAAATTTGAGGGATGGAGCTGTGGTGATAATGGTGATGATGTACACAGTAGCTTGCTGCTGAAATACATATAAGCTTGGCAGTAGCTCTTCCATGTTCCTTAAACTATGTATGTGGTTGTAGAGCTGATGTGCATGGTTTTTGAGCTCATTTGACAAAATTTAAAGTATTTATAAGTAATTTTTCATGTTTCACATAGGATATAGTGCCTTCTAATATATATGATTTTTGTAACATTTACTTTTTAGTAGCTTCCTTTGAAGATCAGAAATGAAAATATATACCAAAAAGTGGAGGTGACCTCGATTGTTGGTAACTTGAGGGGAAGACAACATCCGCGGTTGGGGATTGTAGTTTACACTCAAGAAGCTCCCGCCCACCAAATGGCTGTGGTTCCACTGGAATATGTTAGAAGAGGGAGAGAGAGAGAGAGAGAGACCAAAATTAACTGGGCATGTTATGGTGCAAAGGATTTTGTTGCATTTTGGATCTTCCATTGAACTCAACGAGATGGAGAAAAATGATTTATGTAGTCTTTACTTCACATTTATTGCAGAAAAGACTTAAGTTTATTCTTGTAATATTTTAAAATAGAAGTTTTAATATTTTAGTTTCTTGTTATATATAAATAAACTTATATAATTTAAGAATTTTGATTGGTCGACAATATATTATGTTGAAATTAATATTATTATGGTAAAACCTTTTCCCCAACTGTTAAAATTTAAATTTATTTTCATTATTTTTAATTAATTTCATAATTTAATGATTTCAAAATTGTAATTTTTTATTCACTATTTTCTTACTTATTAGGAAATAAATATGTTGGTTTAGAATTGCAATCATAATATCTATAATCTAGAACATCAATATTTACTGTGCTCATCTGCTATATCCCTTCTGGCGTCTTTATAAGTGAAGTTTTATTTTACTGTCTTCAAAATATTATTTCTATGATTTCTGTGCTATTGTCTTCTTTCTTCTCTTTTTGCTACCCCCAGTGTTGGGCAGTGCTGGTAATCATTTTGCCAGCATGTTTTCATAATAAGACAATTATTAAATAGAATTGATGAGTCGTGACGTCAAATGTTATTGGTGATTTGATTGCATCATGGCTGGCAATAACCATCTTACCTGTTTCTTTCAGCTTTAAAGTATTCCACGGCTGTACCAGTTATTTTTCTTTCAGCCCTCAAGTATCATGTCATCCCTGACAAGTGGTTGAATGTCTATCGGCCTCTGTGGCTTCTCTCAAGTGTTTTGAATTCTTTATATTCATTCTACTGGGACGTGAACCGAGATTGGGATTTGAGGTATGTGAGAACATGGTGTTATTGAAATCTAATTTTCTGATTTCATTGACGCTTTAACTATTTACCAGAAAATGTTGTAAGTTCCTTTGCACGTGAGACCTACAGTTTGTTCCCTTTTATTATTAGTTCCTGGTGGTGGGTGAAACTATGTTCGTAACCTCTAATTCTCTTCTTTTTCTCACCAGTTGCTTCACTCGGATTTTCAAGTTCAGCAAACCAAGTTTCTTGTCCCACGCATTATATGGAAGGAAATGGGTAAGGCTATACCTCTAGCCCATTTCTATTGTCTCTGTGTTCAGGAAAATGATTTTGCTGGTTGGTATAGTTATTCAGAATCCTTGCCCTGCCTTTATTAAGAATCGAAACAATTGTTCACTTTGCCAAACAGGCTCACACCATCCTGGATAATGAGTACCTATATTTTCGAGTAAACTAGGATGGTCACAGCCCAGTTTGATCCTATAGCCCCCAATTGGAAATTACACCGTCCCAAGTGTTTAAAGATTGGGATGCAAAGATCAGGTGAGGTAGTTTTTTATGCATGTGTCAGGTATGCCAAACTTTAATTAATTCACTCACCCCTTCATTCACCGCACCCTCTCTCTCTCTCTCTCCTCTCACCCCGGCTGCACCACCTCCATTTGCAGCACCAGATCGTCGCTTCCCTCAGATCTAGCACATTTTCCCCATTTTCCTATTCAACAGAGGCTGGCGACGAACACTGCCAGAAGTTCGTAGCACAGATCGCCGCTTCCCCATCTTCTGACAGTGAACGGCGGACTACCTCCACTCTCAACAACCGCTTTTCCGATGTTTGTGGCTGAGAGTACACAAAGTTTGTGGTTATATGTAGTTTATGGGTTGTGATTTGAGACGGTGGTGGTGCTGACCTACATATTTGGAGATTTTTTCTGGGAATTTGAAGCGATGGCAGTATTTTTATTGGATGTGATGGTGGCTGTGATTTTTGGCGATGGTGGTGGATCTAATGGTTGGTTGTGATTTTTGTTGTTGGTGGCGACGGTGGTGAATCTAACGGCTGGGGTGATTTTTGTTAAATCTAGTTACTGTGATGGTTTCTGGTGGTGGTCCTGATTTTTGTTGGCGTCGATGATTGGGTCGAGGGTAGTTGCAAGTGGCCGTGATGGTGGCGGCGGTGCGATAGTGTTGGTGGTAGTGGTCTATGACCATATGTGACCAATTATTTAGTTATTTGTGACCATGTGATCTAAAAATTTGGTAATTTGTGACCACCGTGATGGCAATGGCGGTGCAATAGTGTTGGTGGTGGTGTTCTGTGACCACCATTTGACGTATCTGACCAACCATTTAATTATTTGTGACCATGTGACCTACAAATTTGATAATCTGTGACTAATTAATGTGATCTTGAAATAAGTTTTGACCTATAAAGTTTTAGATCTGTGACCAAAGAAATAAATTGTGACTTATAAAACTTTTGATTTGTGATCTCGAAATAATGTGACTAATTAATTTGACTATTTGTGATCTATAAAACTTTTGATTTGTGACCTCAAAATAATATTGGACTAATTAATTTAATGATTTGTGACCAATAAATAAAATGTGACCTATAATGATATCTTCGTGAAATCATTATTTTTAATTAATTAAATATATACATGATTTTTGAATTTTTCAACAATTTATCTCATTCTTGAATTGATATAAATAATGAACAATGCTGACTGTACAGGGCCTGTACAGGCCACACACATTATAGGGGGGTGGGTAATTTTTTTTAAACCCTCACACTTTTAAAAAAATTACCCACCCACCCCACCCCACCCCACTCCCCCTTCACACAGCATGTGAGGGGGCCTGTACAGGCCCTCTACATTAGGCATTTTTCATGAAGAATACCCTTGAATTGTGAACTTTTCCCTTTTTTTAATTTCATGGGTTATCTTCGAGGCTTCATCGCGTTGACCAATGCCCTCTGGACAGTTGGCCTCTATTGCTTAATGTTCGTGCAGCCGTGCCTTTGGCCTTAGGAAAGTACATTCAAGTACTAACTCTTTGTGGTTTGCTCCTTGCAGGTTTTTCTTTGGGTAATCGGAAGCAATCTCATTTTGCGGTGCACATGGACATACAAGCTGTCGGCCCATCTTCGCCACAATTACCTAACCGTATTTACCATAACTGTCCTAGAGATGCTTCGTCGCTTCCAATGGGTATTTTTTCGAGTAGAAAACGAGTGGAATAAGATTAATTCCAAATCGAATATTCAACTGTCCATGACTGACACGTCGAACGAGGAAGACAAATTACTTAGTTCCAATGATCACAATGTATAGATTACTACACACTAGTAGGAAGCATCCACATTAGGCTAAAAGACTGTCGACCATCCATCCCTTATTTATTATCATCAAGAAAACGCTGTTCTTGTTAGTACTAGCTAGCATGATAGGGCATTCTGTCCTAGTCATGCTGTTTATACAAAATTAGTTGACAAAGTTGGTTTACAAAACAACATTTACACCAATCATTTCAAAAACACTTTTTTAAATCATTTGAAATCAAAAGTTAAGATTCTTATAGTACTTATTTTTCAATTATTTTTGTCAACTTGTTTTGTACAACTAGGTTAAATGTTCTGTCTTTCTCCTTCGAATGTTCTACCTTGAAGTAAGGACATTTTTGGACTGCCTTTATTATTTTTTGATGGCCAAGAGGGAGAAATCCATATTGAAATGACTTTTTATCTATGTAATAGATTATGTATATTAATGTGAATTGATGCAGATGTAGAAATTATATCAATCTTTTGATCATAATACATATTCTTTAAAATTCATTTTTTATCACATACTTTTCCAATAAAATGATTTAATGTGTGAAATCATAATTTCCTCCCCTTTTTAATCGCAAATTCTTAAAATAATTATTTTTTACAAAATATATTCTAAAAAAATTTACGTCACGCACTTATCTGTGTTTGACCACCTCTGCAGTGAAAAAACTGAAGTAGGAAAAAATAAAAATCAGATGATAAGGTGGATATTAGGTGGTCTTACGTCCCTCACATGTTTCAGTTTCACCTAGTGGTGGCCACTCTTTCCCCAAGTAGCATGAACCCCTGAATTATATAATTATACATTATTGAAATAACCGGCGCCATTAGAAATTATGAGAGAACATGCTTGTGAACGTTGGGTTTTTGACGCCACGTTTGTCGTTTGTCTTGTTATCACAGCCATTTTGATCTTGTGCTTCAGCTTCTCACTGTTTTCTTATTCTGTAACCCCACATTATCTGTTTTCTAGCGTTAATTCCTTCAAACCCATTTCAGAGTTTGATACAAACCACTAGATTTTCCACATTTTCTTAGAATTTTTATAAACTCCGCAAGCAGTGACGTACACTCTTAAGAAGCCGCCAAACTGAAATAGCATTGGATTCTTGACATGCATTAATCTTCCTGCGAGAATTGTCAATCTTTGAAGGTTCAAGAATTTCCCGCTAAAGCACAGGGTTGGATTGTGTTTGTACATAAATGGAGAAATTTTTGGAGAGGGAAAATGTTTTGTTGGGATATAATCCTCGTGGTTCATTAGAAAACTCACTAAAAGCACAGAACAGTAACTCTGATGACTTGGATTTTAATGATGTTTTTGGCGGTCCACCGAGGCGGTTTTCGATGCAAGAAGTGAAAGGGAGGTACAGTTTTGGTGAACCAGTGGATTCCGAGGAGAAGCGAGTGTTTGGAACAGAAGTTGTGACGAGAAGGCGAAATCTGGGTGATGGTTTCTTTAATGATATATTTGGAGGTGATGAGTCTTATAGTTCACCGAGAAGGACTGATCGTGACCGGGAAAATACCTTTGGCTCGAGCCCTGGTTCAAGGATTTCCAGCCCTGGCAGGGCTTTGATACCCAAAGCTGATGCTTTTGCCACTTCACTTCCTGCTCAGTTCAGGTACGTTTGCCGGTTCTTCGGTTTGTGAACGTCCTTTTCCAATATTGTTAACAACGCGATTGGTAGAACTCGCCCTTTGTAAGGGAAGTTTACCCAACACATTTATATCCTCGAGGCAGACCATTTGGATAACTATACGAACCAGTCTTCTACTGGAAGTAGTCCTCTCTATGAAGATCTACAAGATATTTAGAACTGAGCGAAGTAGGATTGAAACGTAGTCATTGGAAATATTAAGAATTGTTGGAACAGATCATTTTTATTAGTTATTTAGTCATACGTGATTCCTTTGTATTTCAAGATATAGATTGTTCTATTTCAATATTTCAATTGATCAGGTAACAAATGTCTTGGTAGAATTAAGTTCTATGAGAAAGAAATTAACATTTCCCTTGTTATTCATTGATTATTAGAGCTTAATCTCTTCTTGTAGATCTTGAAATTTCCTTTTCTTTTTATTTTGGGTTGGGATGTGGGGACATTCATAAAGAAACATTGAAATGTCTCTTGGCCTAACTAAATATTGCTTATTTTCAGGTTTGCTTTTGGTTGAGTAATTCTGATGTTATTAAATAAACAGTAGAAGCCAGATCTTTCACCTACTTAATAGTTAGCGGTTAAAATTCTTCCTAGTTCTGTGGTGTGCTATGTCCATATTCCAAACAATCTATGTAGATGTTACTTTGTATTACCGTTTTTTGTTGAATATGCATATCATGTCTGTTCTTTACTTTTAAATGCTTTTCTGTTTTCAGTCTTCCTGCCAAATTGATAAAAGCAACAGATTACCCTATATTTGCTTCTGGAAATCGTGGACCGTATAAGATGGATGGCATTGCAAATGGTCCCCACTCTTCAAATTCTACTCCATCTAGATTTTCAGGTCAAGCAATATTGGGACAAGATGAGACGAGAAATGATGTTCTGCCAGTATATCACCACAGCTCCTTGTCCAATGAAGTTTCTTTTAACAACGAGAATTCTACACATTCTGGAGTATCTGATCTGAAAGATGTTGAAAAATGGAAAAATGATTCAGTAAGTGTGGAAACTCAGAGCGAAGGCAATCAGTTTCATTTCTCTATATACAAATGGGCAGGAAGAGAATTACCAATGCCTATTCCACTTCGAGGTGGGAAGGTTTCAAAATTGAAAGGGATGAGTAAAATTGATAGGTCTGCAAGCTCTAATGGAAGGATTGGAAGTATGGAACCAGAATTGTCTACAGTGGAAAACCATGGGATTTCAACAAATATCGAAGCTGAGTTGAAATTTGAAAGTGAGAACCATGATGATAGAAGCACAAAAGATTCAGTTCTAGTCATGACTGCAAAAGAAGCTAATTCCCTGCAAAAAACGAATATAGGAAAGAAAATTGAAAATGTAAACGCTGTGAAGACCGACGAATCTCACAAGTCAGATGTGAAGCCTCGGCATGCATTCATTAATGAGTTTGAACAACAAGGTAAATCATATTTTCACAGGGAATTTCAATGAACACATTTTGTATTACATTTTATATAACTGAATTTTAATGGTAAAGTTTTTGAAATTTGAGGAAATGTTACAGAAGTGAAAGGAAATTCGACCAACCTACCAAAAGAAGTTATTCCTGATGACCATGCTGGTAAAGTGAAGATTAATGAAGGAATAATGGGTTTAGACAGAACACGCATAAATAAAGCTAGCGCACGAACTTCACTCATAAATTCAGAAAAAGTTCCTGGTAGAAATGGAGTCAAAGGAAAGGTCAAAGAGTTTGTCAAGATTTTCAACAAGGAAACTTCTTCAAGATCAAAAGTTGATCCTGAGACTCCAAATCAGAGCTCTAGATGGAAAGGCATAGGAATCACTCAACCAGAAATTGAAGTGAATTTGAATGCTGCAAAATTAAATAATGAAGTGCCCATGTGCAGTGTAAATAAGATGCCAGATGTTTCTCGCTGGGTAATTGATTCCTTCCAATGAATTTGATGAAATTTGATTCAGTGTACATAGTATAAGTTTATGGCTTGATTTTTTCTGAATAAAACTAGTCTTATTTTGGAACTATGATTGTGGATGTGTAACTATCCTTTCTTATCATTTTCAGGTTAACAAAAATCTCAGCAATGATGAAGCAAAACATTATTCTCATACAAAGACCCCAACTAATCGAAGTAACCATTTTTCTACTACTCAGAAGGATTCTATACCATCTGGTTAGTTAAACTTACGTGTTAAGTAAAAGTAAAAGATATGAAGCATAAGTACAAGTTAGTCAAATGTAGGAAGTGTTTATTCATTTGATATAATAGGTTATGGATAAATACTACTCTTTTGTCATAATTCCCATTGGGGGTGTATGGGCTCTTGAATTTCACATCAGAAGTATGGGCTTCTTTTGTGTAGTTTATATAGACTTGAGTTCTCTAACTTCAATGACTAGCTTTTGGGGTTTGGCTCTTCCAAGGTCTATGACAATGGTATCAGAGCAAATATCATGTCTTCTGGTCTCGGTTACCACTTATGGTGTATGGGCAACTGCTCGACGTGGATGTCGAGTCGGAAGGGTGGTGGTTGGTCATGGTTCCCATTGGGGTGTATGGGCACCCGAATCTCACATCGGAAGTATGAACTTCCTTCGTGTGGTTTATATAGGCTTGGGTTCTCTGACCTCAACGGTTTGCTTTTGGGGTCTGACTCTTCCAAGTTCTATGATACTTTTATTTTTATCCTGAGAGATTATCATGTACTTGGAACAGAGTCTCTACCCATTGATTCTAAGGTTTCAGCTGAAAATGCAGAAGACCCTTTCGAAGTCAGCTTTGTGGTATGTTGTCTCTTTATTGTGTGTCAATTGTGCACGTTGGTTTTTGTATTATCCATTCAATTGTGTTCTAAACATTGTTTTCTTCTTGTGGATTTCAACTTTTGACCATTTTATATGTCATGGTTTATCAGGTCCAAGAATTATCTCATGATGACAACAAAGTTACGGTTGATGAAAGTTCTGAGGACATGAAAGTAAGTTACTTCAATGCAATATTAGTAGTCTAGAATTCTTGGAATGCAACAACAATTCTCTATAATGTAATGTAGGCTTTAGATGCCAAGATTCAACAATGGTCTCTTGGGAAGAAAGGAAATATCCGCTCGCTGCTGTCAACTTTGCAATTTGTAAGATGTTTTATCCATTTTCCATTTTATCATCCATTTATGGGAAACAAATTCCTCTCGGCTTTACATGGGATTGCAATTTCATAAGACTTTGACGTTTTCTTCTTTTTAGTTAGGAACGCAGAAGCTTGTAATGGGAAAGCCAATTTTGAAGAACGCTTACCCATTACTTTATTCTGTTTTCGGATTAATAGATAACATAAACAAGATGAAATTTTCCTTTTACTGGAGGGACTTAGTAATGTTTACAAATTCCTAATTTTCATCTAGATAAAATAAAAATTTCTTCTTATCACTAACATCTGGTGCAGGTTCTTTGGCCTGGGAATGGATGGAAGGCAGTACCCCTTGTTGATTTAATAGAAGCAAATTCGGTGAAAAGATCATATCAAAAGGCTTTGCTCTGCCTTCATCCAGATAAATTGCAACAGAAAGGAGCCGCTTCTCATCAAAAATACCTTGCGGAAAAAGTTTTTGATATTGTGCAGGTATCGGAATAAGATTAATTGATACCATTTGATCTATTGCCATTTTTTATGATTCTTGAAAGGAGAAGAAATTTTGGGAAGTATAAATAAATGGCTTTTGTTAATGCAGGAGGCATGGGACCATTTCAACACAATTGGCCTATAATTGTTCAATGCTCGAAGGCTATCAAAGGTAGCATCTTCAAGTGGGAATGTACATATATTTTGAGAGATCAAAGGTATATCAATTAAACTACTTGTACACAAGCCTATTGTTTACACCTTTCTTGAGAGATGATGAGGTGGGAGGCAGTTTGTACGTGTAGCAAGGTTGAAAGTGTATGCATGAAATCACCTCGAAAAATAATCGCACTGCTATAGAACGAGTGTTTACACAGACTTTTTGGTCAAAATAATTTTTTTGCTTTGTTATAGAATAATTTAGTTAAGGACACAGCAACAATATATATTTTGGCAAAAAACCAGTTGAATTGAATTCCAAGATAGTTTCAAGTGCGTAAGTAGTCAATTGATCCCATTACTCACTTATCAATAACTTATTTTGATCTAAAATTTGATTCTCCTATTGATAATTTCCTAAAATTTTACATGACAACTAGAATAAGATTCTGTTTCTTATGTTTGTTCTGTTGTTTCTGTTGATTGGAATGGTCACCAAATCTTTGACTTGAAATTTTGTTCCCCTCAAGAGAATTCAATTATTTGCTTTTTATTGCTTTTTCTTTTTATTCAATCATTCTTGTTTAGAAACAAACACTGTATTTTGTTGACCAAAGGCAGGCACAGAGTAACATGATCAAAAAGATAATAATGCACTATTGTCACAAGTAGACCAAAGGATAATCATGCATCAAGCACTACATGTGTTGTGACACCACCCATCAATGTAATAACAACAAATCTAAATAATTGCCTGGAAAAGGGACAAGTCCATGTCAACCCTACATGCCTCTTGGGACATCCAAATATCATATCAACTCCCTGTTGGAGTATAATTGTAAATAAAAATAAATGCAATGAAGTAGTAGATGATATTGAGATGAGTAACTGTGCATGTGTTAGGCTTTTCTGATAATAAAAAATAATTATAAAATAAAATAAAAGTTGGTTTTGAGTTTTGACTCATACTGGAAGTGTGTTGGATGATAAATTTAATTCTCTTTAACCGCTTAAACTTTTAAATAAACTAGTTCAAGATGGTATTGGATTAAAACAACGTAAAGTCTTGAGTTCAAGTCTTGTTGTTATTCATTTATTATGCAAGACTAAATTTTTTTAATAATGATAGTGCCTCAAAAATTAAATCCTCTAATAAAGGACTTCCCCCTTTGGTATGAATGCTACATGAAGAACAGAGTCAGGTGATAGAACAGGAAATTATAGACACAGGCTTTTTCCACATAAAAGGAAAATCTTGTGTTGCAATATAAGCACAAGTGAACAAATCTCTATTGACTCCTCGTTACTTCTCAAAGGGATAACTACTTTACCGCAAGGTCCATCTCACCAAACAAACCAACGACGTCGAAATGATATACAAATGCTGATGGTACTGCTGAATCATGGTCCGGTTATTACTCAAATATCAGCATCCATTATTACTTGAACAGTAAGAAAAAACCAATATCGGAAATAATGAAATGCGTCTATAATTAAGCCAAATCCTCAAAGATTTCAACCGTGGATAAATTCCCACTAGCCTACAATGAAGATGACAATTCTTCCCAAGAACACAACTGTCTACAAGTAATGCTTGTAAAAGATAACCCCCAAACAATTTAAAGGGGAAGACAACAATTACTCATAACAGAAAAAGCAAAACAGAATAAAGGACTAAAAGAAACAACTGAAAAACCAATCCATCCTAATAAAAGAAATTGGTTCAAATTCCAAATTTGTAATTCTTTTCACCTCTGAGACCAAATTCTTTTACAGCGAGTAGGTTTACTTTCGACAGTAACGCTGCCAGTTTTCTTGCATCAAGTTACAAAGAAATGCCATTAGAGAAACTCGGTTTTATCAATGTTTCACCACAATTCAATTTCGTCAATTGCTTACATCCGGGTGTTTCCACTTCCAAGCGTAAGTTCAAGATCATCCATTCCCACCTCATGAATCCTCTCACCTTCCCATGGCTTCACAGCCACATTCTCAAAGTTGAATTCTATGCCCTTCCCCTTCTCCGACATCACTACATCTTGGGAAGGAACAAGGTTTGTGATTGGTTTCACTAGATTAAATGTTGGAGAAGTTGGAACCATGTTGGCTGCATTTGCACAGACTTGGAAGTTCATCCATTGGCATGAATCAATAGTTGAGGTGTCTGACTCATCGCATTCTGGTATAGTTGCTGGCGTAAAACGCTGAGCACGAGTAGGACTTGCCGGGGCAGAAGCTGCAAAGAAAGGGATATTCAAGGCAGACATGGATTCTTTGGCAAGAGACTCCAAAGTGAAAGTTTGCTTAGGAAGCCTAGTAGGTGAAGAAAGAGGGGGCGTTACTGGGGCACTGTTTGATATTCGGAGCGGAGGAAGAGAAGAAGGGAAAGAGTTGAGGAGGAAACTGTATGACTGTGAAGCCGCGTTGGCGTCTTGCCGAGATGGGCTTGGGAATGAAGAGGATGACGGACTAGGTTGATAAGATGGAATTGGACTCGCAAAATACGAAGACGGTGGACTTGGGTTTCGGGATGAACTAGGAGTGATGTTGGTTGAAGTGCCTCCCATTTCCATTAGAGGTGGCTTGCATCCCTGTATCATATGCAAATCCAAACCTCTTTTACATTAGTATTCTTGAAAAGTATATCATCTTTAAAGAGAAATGCTCCAACTTAAAGAACATAAACAAATCGAAATATTCAGAGATGATTTCATTCATTCATTGAATTCTAAATCCAAATTAAAGGATACAATTGAGTTTCACAATTCAGAAATTTTACACCTAGAATATTCTGGCTGATTAAAAGGAACTAGGTTTTGAAATTAACTACTTCAATTGTTCTTTTCACCCAATAAATCTTTCTCATTTTTCCCTTATGCAGAAAATGACAATTAAACTTATAAAAGAAATTCGTTTACAATAAATAAGACTCAAAATAGACAAATAAATGAGAAAAATTAACAGAAAATACGTGCTTAAATATAAATATAAGGAAAGAAAAAAGGAAATCTGGTTTTAATTCGATTCACCTTACAAATGCAAAATCAGTAAATCGAAGGAAAATCAAAGCAAATAAGGCAAACCCACATCCAAAATCTATAGATCTAAACAAATCAAAGCAAAATTGATAACTACGGGACGGTGGACTTGGGTTTCGGGATGAACTAGGAGTGATGTTGGTTGAAGTGCCTCCCATTTCCATTAGAGGTGGCTTGCATCCCTGTATCATATGCAAATCCAAACCTCTTTTACATTAGTATTCTTGAAAAGTATATCATCTTTAAAGAGAAATGCTCCAACTTAAAGAACATAAACAAATCGAAATATTCAGAGATGATTTCATTCATTCATTGAATTCTAAATCCAAATTAAAGGATACAATTGAGTTTCACAATTCAGAAATTTTACACCTAGAATATTCTGGCTGATTAAAAGGAACTAGGTTTTGAAATTAACTACTTCAATTGTTCTTTTCACCCAATAAATCTTTCTCATTTTTCCCTTATGCAGAAAATGACAATTAAACTTATAAAAGAAATTCGTTTACAATAAATAAGACTCAAAATAGACAAATAAATGAGAAAAATTAACAGAAAATACGTGCTTAAATATAAATATAAGGAAAGAAAAAAGGAAATCTGGTTTTAATTCGATTCACCTTACAAATGCAAAATCAGTAAATCGAAGGAAAATCAAAGCAAATAAGGCAAACCCACATCCAAAATCTATAGATCTAAACAAATCAAAGCAAAATTGACTACGAAAAAAAAAAAAAAAAAAAAACAGATATACAGAAAGAAAAGGTAAACAATAAAAGGGAAAACAGAAAAGTTCACCTTACGATAGGTGGTGCCATCAGGCTCCACGATCCAACCAGCCTCAACACAGAGAGCTTTCAAGACTTCATTGTTATCACAGTGTTTTGGTAGATTGTAATTCCCCTGTGCCCTTAATCCTGTATAAATCTTGGCTGCTATTGCTCTCCTCCTCCTCTCTCTCCTCCTGTTGTTCTCCCTTTCTCTCCAAGATGGTTTCCTCCTCCCTGCACCACCACAACCACCATCACCTCCAATACCAGCTGCTGAAGACGATGCCGATGATCCGCCAGCTTCCCACATCATTCTCTTGGATTTCTCTTCCTAAAACTCACACACGCACCCAAAAAGAAAAAAAAATTATATAGCTCTATATTCTCCCTCTCTCCGTTGTCCGTATATATAATATGAGGGGTGGGGTTCGTAGGTAATAGTAGCGTATATTGCGTTGCTGGGACTGCAGTACTCACGAGGAATACGCTTCCCCCTGCCTTTTACAAGTGTGGAAGAATCTGTGTGCATGTATTTTGACAGATAATGTTCTTGGAACAGGAAGTTTATAGTGTAAATCAATATACCATATTTCCTGTCCGAGTGATTTTCAGTAGGCCCGCCTGATTTTTTTGACCCTTTCGATTCAAACAATAACAAAATAACAAAAAGGGTCCTCAGATCGGAAAAAAGCAAGGGTGTGAATTGATAAAGTGAATAGTTATTGTTGGCATGGGGTGGGGTGGTATTTGTAAGAAAATTTTCAAAAGAATGGCTATTAAGAACGAATATTTTTTCTTTGTAATATCTGGCAGATTTGGACCAGAGTTGTCTCCTCGGGTGTTTAACTGGTCAACCACCCAATCAGATGCTGCCACGTCAATTATTTGGTCAGTTAATTTTGGATAAGAATAATTCTAGTAATAGATAATTTTTTGTGTCCATCCTCTTACATGGATAGACTCCACTCGAATATTTTATTCAAACAGGCCCCATCCCATGTGAAAGGGTGAAGGTACAAAAAATTATGTACCACTTGCATGATTGTTAGGATAATTCTGTGTTTTTCTTATTGATGAGAAATCAAAGAAATAAACACTAGAGCCATGTTTATGACAATGTATATAAGAGCATATTTAGTAATTTAAAAATTATTAATAAATTTGAGAGCAAAAAATTTTAAATGCTTCAAAAGGTTCTTTATTTTTATCACTTACTTTTACTACTCTCAAAAAGTATTTACTATGTCTTTTCTTCTCCATCTTTTATTTCCATTAACTTCTCGCCAAATTATTATACTGATTTTCTACATTAAAATTGAAATAGTTTGAGTGTATTTAGTTATAAAAAGAGAGTTTGACCGAACTTAGTCTCTATTTTCAAATGTTAATTTAAAAAACCTCTTAAGCAAAATTTTAGAAGTTGGTCTTTAAAATAGAGAGAATCTTATGTTTAAAGATTCTCTTGGAGACACTTTCTATTTTTAAAGAGTACATTCTATCATTTTGAAAAGCATATATAAATTTAGAGAGTCAAAATTTTGAAGTACTCCAACAAATTCTTTATATTTAACATTTAATTTTATTACTCCCAAAAATATTTATTATTTTTCTCTATATTTTATTTTAACTATTTTTTTAAAATTATTTTATTATTTTCTACATTGAAAATTGAAACACTTTAAATGAATTTAATTATAGAGAATGAGTTTACCCATTCTTTGAATTAAAATATTAATTAAAAGAGTCTTTTGGAGTATAATTTTAAATGTTGACTCTTTAAATTATATACCATCTCATATTTAAAGAGTTTTTTTAAAATGCTCTAATGTGCTAATCTTAAAAATAAATTCCAAGCACAAAGCTACATTAACATGAATTCATAATGTCTCAATTACATCACATGGATTCCTATGAAATTTTGTACGTCTGATTTAGTTACCGTTTGGCCCCCATTTTGTGGAAAAGAAAATGGGTGGAATAATATTTTTTTTTAAAAAATGAGTGGTTGAAAAAAAAAAAGGAAAAGTATTTTATGAAAAATTGTGTGATTGAAAATAAGAGAAAAAAATGAAATATAATGGAATGGTAATTAACGGGGGCCAAACGGGAGCTTACATACTATGTGTAGCGACAGGGGTGGACGTAGAGAAATTGAGTTAGGGGGGCACAATCAAAATTTGTACAAATCGGATATTTTGTTTTTTATTTTGGAATGATTTATATTTGACTCGAAAAAATGTAGGTTTACATTTTAAAACTACTTCTTCATTAATATTTTGCTAATAATTTTCATCTATTTGATTTTAAACAATAAGTTTAATAATATTTTGCTTACCACAAGAAAGTGTATATTTATGTTTTAAAAAATTTTATATTTGATACAAACAATCAATTCAAATAATCGAAAGAAAAAACAAATAACCAATATTCAATACTAATAATCAGTCAAATAAATACAATTCATTATATATAAGTTAAATTTATATAATCAGTTTAGTCACGTGCTATATACGCAAATAGAATATGAGAAAATGCAAATTTTGGTTCTAATTAGTTAAAAATTTGATTGAAAAGTAAAAATTTTTAGTAGATGTGATAATTGTAGAGGAATTATAAACAAATTTTAAAAAATTAGAAGAGTTATGATTGTGATAAAAGGTTTGAGGGAGAGAATAGGATAGAGCAATGAAAATAAAAAAGAGAGAAAATTCAAATTTATTGTTATTTTGTCTCTATTTGGTGGGGATTAAAGTCTGATTTTTAGTAAATTTTGATAAAATTTTAAAAGTTAAGGAATTCAAGAAATATGTTATTAAAATTAATTATTAATTTTGATTTAAATTAAAATTTAAATTTCAATCGATACCAAACATGACTTTAGAGGAAAAAAAATAAAAGGGAAAATCTTAAAAGTTGGAGGGTCAAGTGACCCCCCTTGGGTCCGCCCATGGGTAGCGAGAGAATAAAGTTTGTCCCACATAGCCACCCGCCGTTGCCCTTTTCCTGTTCGATTCAAACATTTTTGGGTTGTCTCTCAACGCAGCAACTGCATCGGGATTGAGAGCATCCTTGTGATTTGGTTTCTGTGCATACACTACCTCCAATTAGTGATATTACAAATTTAAATTTCATTGCTTCCCAAGTATACATGCCATGAATAATGTGCTTATGTTCAGCATAGGCTTTCATTCTTCTCGAAGAATGTTAAGGCAAATATTTCCTTTCAAGTCAATGTTCGGATGGTACACCCGCAACATGCATTCCATCAATGGAGCTTTGCAATATTAGTCAATAAATAGAAAGAAATTAAGGGTTTGTCTACCTTTGTCTTGCATTTCACCTTTGGCGCTTTGCGAGGATAGATGGGAGAAATTTGGAGGCAAAAAGTAAAGGTGGCACCCCTAAAAATAAGCAACTATTTAATACATTTATCAACTCCTTGATATATGAAAGTGTAAAGGAAGAAAGGTGTAAGGTGGTGGGGAGAGGAAAATTAAGGGTCACATATACAAAGTGCCAAATAGAAGCAAGTTAAGGACCTAACAGAATGGAGAGAACACAAAGAATAATTGAGAATTCAAATAAACAAAAACAATGATTGTTATTATTTTGAATCTTACTACCTAATAATACGTGGATGAACACAAAGAATAATTGAGGATTCAAATAATAAATGAATATTAGGGCGGAACAATATAATATATTGATCACTTTTAAGTCTTAAATCAAGATTCATAAAATCTAAGGTTGTGTTTAGTCGAATTCTCCCATTGTATTCAATTTACCCCTCTCAAATTCTCATTGGACCTATTTAACTATTTCAATTCCATATCTCTATGCGAATCAAACTTAATAAAATGAAAAATTGGTTTTAAGAATTCATATATGATCGCAGCAATTAATATATGTATCTCTGCATGTTATATTAATTTACCAAATTTTAATATATGGTCTAAACAAGAATCTGCATCTCTACACAATTATTGTTCACGAAATCATTGAATAATTGCCCAGAAAATTCAAAGTATTAAGAACATGATTAAAATCCACACATATAATCATAACGAACAAGAATCTCAAATAAAAGAAATAAATGGTCCCAAATAGATTATATTGTTTGCCCTAAAATTCGATTTAACTACTCACAGTAATGAAAGAAAAACAAGAAGTTATTATGGAAGACATCATGGAGTTTTGAATAAGAATATAGAATAAGAAATCAATCTTGCACCAAGATTTTATTCATCTTTCAATTTATGCTTCAAAATTTGGATTGTTTGATATTGTTCTCCCTTGAATACCTCATTTCAATCCCCAATTGCATGTGTTTTCCTCCTAATAAGTAGATTCAATCCCTTGATCTTTTGGCCCCTTGAATTCTCTCCCTTTTCTCCAATTTTTTTGAGGTTTTTTATGAATAATGAAGGCTCCCAATGTGTGAATCCCCCCTTTCCAATTGTCTTTTTTAAGGTTATATTTATGTCTTCTTCAAGCCTTGAAAGAATTTTAGTTGAGTTGGGCTTTTAAAAAAATGAATTTCACTTAAAAAACCCTACTTGACGATAGCAGGGCACCTAGGCGTTGTGATTGGGTGCATGAGCGCTGAATTTCGAGAAAAAATCAGAAACATAGCGCTCGAGCGCTATCATCAACTTCGATTGCATTGAACAACATTCAGTTTTTTTTTATCATAATGTTTTCTTACGATGACCGATTGGGGCAATTCAAGATGCGTTGGAAAACTAACTCAAAGAACTACAATTTGTCTATTTTCAAATTCAATCATTTGCTACGTCAAAAGTGGGTCTCAATTTGAGTCTGAAAACAGTGCATACGTTTTTTCGATTGGAATTTGATGTGTGATCTTACTTGATTATATTTCATCCATTTGATGTCTTTCTTTATCCAATTGACTTCAAGCACTCTTGAATTTTCATCAGGAGGTTCGACACAATTTTTGAGTATTTACACTTTAGTCCCCGAACTTTGAATCTCTTACAACTTAGCCATTTTCTCCAATTTTGTCAACTTTTGCTTATTTCCTTCAATTTCTTGTACCGTCATTGAATTTTACCTATTTAACAAATGCGATAATTTAGACCATAATTCATCCAAGAAGCAACCAAATATCATCGTTTTAAAGTCTTGAATAAGTGTATAAAATACACTTATCACCCTTCAAATTAAATTGCAAATGCTAAAAAAATTCTCCAAAATAACTCATTTATTATAAAAATCAAAAGGCAAATGCTTAACACTAGGAAATGCCTTTTTGGTTTTGTGAGGGTTGATGTTTTTATTCAAAGAACCATTAGAATCAAAGATGAAAAAGATGAATTTATTTTGGTTCTTGATCCTTTGGAAGTTGAGAGGAATTGTTGTTTTAATGTTTGCTAAAGGTCAAATTAGAAAATCGGACGTTTTGTTTATATAGTAGGTCGAATTTGGTAATATAGGACGTTAAAAATTCGTGAGGCATTAAAATTACCAAAGGCCAGATAACATAGTCGCTCGAGCGAGGTCCTGGCGAAACTCGAGCGACGTACCTTCGCTCAGGCGATAGACCAGAAAAACTCCAGCGATGTCAGTTCTGCAATTTTGGCTCTAGCAAGGTCAGGGCGAAACTCCAGCGACATCAACGCACCGTTTGCATCTTCAAAGCATCCCACTTTACCCTAGACCTATGCTATGACCTTTACTAAATTGCAACTTTAGTCCCTGAACTATTTGACCTGTACAATTTAGTCATTGACTTTACAATTTTGACAAATAGGTCTTTTGGTCACAGATTGCCAATTACACATCTTCCTAACAAACTCTCCCTTTGACATTCTGTGACAAAAATACATATGACAGTCAAGGACAAAAATAAACATGACTCCAAACAATCTATCTATTCAACTAAAGTAGCAATCTCTTGTTGAACTTGTTTCCTGAAAATCACAAACTCAAATACCAAGTGTAAAAGCATATGAAATGGAAACAGTAAATAAGAAATCGATCATATGTCATTAACCAGATTAAGAAGCAATAATAATGTAAGTCAAAAACACCAAAAACATACATTAATATTGCCAAAACATCAAAAAAACTTAATCTAGTCATGAAGTATAACACAATTACCAAAAAATTGAAGATCTATCGATCTACACAATTACCAAAAAATTGAAGATCTATCAATCTATCTATCCAAACATCTACTCCCCCTTTTTGTCACAAAGGACAAAGGTCAAAACAATGAACTAACTAACTACGATGCAACACCACCAGCATCTGAAGACTCAGCTCCGCTCTCAGCACCCGTGTCCTCCTCCATACTATCACGAATCCAACGCAAATGACGCTGACACACTGCAAGAGCACGGCGAAAAGAAGAAAGCTCAGCTGACTGACGCTCCGACGCAGCACGTAACTGCGTGATCTCTCCCATCATACGAGCCTGCTGCTCGACCAAAGTAGACATATGTCCCATAAGCGTCACCATGGGGTCAACAGGCAAAGCAGCCACCCCAGGAGCAGAAGTAGAAGTAGAGGTCGAACGAAAGGCAGAAGTAAGTGGAATGGTCGAAGGAAAAGCCGTACGAGGCAGGAGAAACACACGGGAACCCCCAGTAAGAATCTCA